CCACCCCGAAATGGCGGGGGGCTGCCGAAAACGCTCTGCAGTTCATCCCGGTACCCACGCTTACACGCGGCTGGCTGGACCCAGGCACTGTGTTTTGGGGTATGTCAGTGGGGTATGGACCTTGCAGCTGCCTGGGGGTAACCTGGCTTTGGGGTGCTCCTGCCTCTCCCCAGCAAGCAGCTGTGGTGACAACTTGCCGGGTGGGATGTGCAACCAGGGCTCTGGCACGGTGGTCTGGCCGCGAGGCAGGGGTTGGGGCTGGAAGCGATGGAGGGGACACAGCAAACCCCGGCCCAACGGCTGCAACTGAAGCCCGAGCCCCTCCATCCCAAAAAACCGTGACCTGCCGCATCCGGTCTTGCCCAGGAGGTCCCACGCGTGGTCGGGGTGGGCTCAGCCTCTCCCAGCGCCGGGCTTGGAGGGGCCAGGGCAGGTAGGACCAGCTCAGCAGAAAGCCTGGCTCCCCCCAGGGACGTGCCTCAATTGGGGTGACTAATCCTGGCCCTGCGCCCTGGCCGATTGCTCAACGGGAGCGACAGGAGCCGGAGTGTCACCTCCTTCAGCCCCAGGAGCCTTGGCGAGGCCGTCCCCTCCCAGCGTGGGGACACGCGGCTGCAGGAGCCGGCTGGGTTTCGCACCCGGGGTCTCCGGCCATCCCTGCCCACCGCAGAGACATTTTCTGCTTCGCCCTGAGCAGGAGCAGCAGATACCGTCCCTGCTGAGCTGTGGGTCCCAGTTCAGCCCCCACTTTCCAAACCCAGGCTGCGAAGAGGCCCTTGGTGTGAAAACATTGCACTTTTCAGGCTGTAGCTTTTTTAGACCTCAGCATTTCTTGGCTCGGGCACGGCAGGGGTTCCCTGAGCTGAGAGGTCTTGATCGCCTTCGCTTGCCATTTTCTCCAGCAGCAGCACAGCACGGCAAGGCTGGGGCTGCAGATACTGCCTGGGTATTAAAATAAAAAAGCCAAACAGCCACAAAAGCTTTGATGGCTCTTGCGTAACTCCAGCTTGACCTGACAATACCCTTTTAAGCCACCAAATCTCTCAAAGCCATTAAAAAGCTGCCATAACATTCACATTTTTATGATCACGTCTTCCATCCCTTTATAGCAATGACAGGGCTCAAAGACAACCAGGACAAGTCCACAAGACCACAAGGCAAGGATGGAGTTTCAGCTCTGGTTATGGTTAGATTGCCTTCAGCCCCAGAGAGCACGGAAACACGCCTGCTGGGTTTCAGCCAGCAATACCCAGGGAAGTCCCTGGGATCTCAGGAGAAGAGCTCAGGTGCTGGCAGCAGACAGGCATTCCACTTTTGTACCTGAAATGTCAGTGTAGTTTTTCATCGTGAACCGATCTGGTTAAAGCACAAGTGTGGGTGGGTGGGTGTGCGCGCGTGCGCAAGGAAGCATGTGTCTTCGCTCTCCTTCTCCCCCTGAGCTCCGCCTTGTCTCCAAATCCTGGCCACAGAGCTGGGATGCAGGAAAATTTAGCGTTAATTCCCCACCCAGCTGCAGTCCCTGCCAAGCAAGACCCCACTCACATTCAGATTCACCGAGTCGGTGGTCCGCAATCGCTCGCTAAGGGCCAAAGCATCCCACACAAAGGAGCCATCTTATCTTATGCAAGGTCTTGGGCAAGAAGCGATGCTGAGTCTGCACACCGAGCTGGGAGCCGGCGTTCTCGCCCGCTCCCATTCTAGGCGCGCCTGCGCGAGCTGCCAGAGGCCCCCGGAGGGCTGCTCGGTGTGGACACCTTGCTCTTCGTCACCCCAACCTTCCCGATTCACAGCACTGATGGTCCCAAGCCGCCGCCTGCAGCAGGGACGCGGAGTAGGTGGCACACAAGGCAGGGAGCTGCAGCCAGCTGGCGAGAGGGAATGACACCGGGAGTAGGGAAATCGGGATTTGGGATCTGGAGAAGGTGCTGGAGAAAGCAAGCCCAGAAAAAGGAGGTGGATGAGGGCAGACAAGCCAGCTGCTGGGAAAGGCCCTACATGCAAACGAAGTGCTCCAACCTCCCGCTGAGTCACACAGGGTCTTTCTTAATCAAAAGCCTACAAGAGCCGAGCTTGCAGTTTGCGCGTCGCTGTCAGCGCGCTGCGTGCACACCAAACGCCAGCGTTCAGCCCCTGGATAAGGGCGCACGAGGAGTGACCTGCTTTCACAGCCCACAGTCGCTCTTCCTCACTCCCTCCAGCAAACGCTTTGTCTGTTCTCAGGTAGATCATAGAGGAACACGACGTCGCAAACACGGAGCCGTTCTGCACAGTACACAACACAGCAGCTGCTGTGACGTTCCCACCAGAGGCTTTTTAGCCTCAGGCTTTGTAGCACTCTTGGTTTTATTTATTCAGGTTCAGCAAACTCACAAGATGAAAGCGAGACGAAGGAGTGTTTTATTAAGAAAGAGTCCATCATTATTTAAAAAAAAAAAAAAAGAAAAAGAAAACCAACCATCTTTCTCTCCTCCTTGAGACAGATTGGAGGTTTCTTAGCCTGAATACTCCTCCAAGTACAAGGCCCATGCACACTCTGCCTATGCAGTAAAGCAAGAACTTCTGTCTCAAGTCTCAGTGCTCAAACTGATTTTGCTTTCTCTGGATCTATCTTGGTTACGATGGGGAGGAGGAGCCTTGACAAAAGTCAGTCTCCTTTATCTTGCTTCTCCTCTCTTGCTAACCATGCCTTCACCCGGCTAAATCTCTCTTGCTCCTAAGGAAAGACCTGGCTTGCCTTGCACTCAGCCATCACCTTTCTGCAAAAACGCTGCTCTGTGCAGCGGGGCTGAAGCACAAGAGGTCAAACCCTTCCAGAAGGGAGTCCAGCAGCCAGAACTCTGCCTGGAAAGGCTTTCACTTGGCCTGAGTCACACAGCGCAGTGATCCCTTAAGCTCCTGGTAGGAAAAGGAGAGGTGTCAAAACCGAGAGCAGTTGTGGAAGAGGTGGGTGTGTTACAGATCCATCACTTCTTCTTCCACGGCTTTGTCCTGAGATTGCACATACTTCTCCTGCACTGCAAGTGTGCTGATAACGCAGTAATTAAGGAAAACAAGGGGCTGGGCTCAAACACTCCCTTCTGCAAGGAGCTCTTAACGTTCTCGGCGAGGAACCAGCCCACATTAGCCTGAAGGCTGGCAGGAAGACTGGCAGCAGCACGCATCACCCGAGTTATTTCTGGCTTTAGCTGATCCCAGACCCGACAAGTACAAGGGATCAGTTGTATGGTTTGGACAAGGTGGAATGAACCAGTCCAAGTGAGTGGATGAGAGAGAATCAAAAGATCCCTCTCACATTCACAGTATCAATTAGTAACGAATGTGGCGGCTTTGGTGTGAGCAACTGTCTGCTAAGGTCTGGGCTGAGCCCTACTCGGACAATGTTAGCAACAACCTGGGCCTGGAACCCGCCAGTGCCACCTCCAGCCTCCCTTCCCCAGCGAAGGAGTAATTAAAACGACACAACAGAGGATCGGTGGAGAAGGATACGAAGGAAAGTGGAAATCTGCTCCGACCGCTGCCGACATCAGAGCTTCCAGGCTCCTGTGCTCCTGGTCTCCGAAGGAATAGCCGTTGGCTTTGTCCACTGCCTGCATCACCTGCCGCATGCTCTCCTTATCCTGAAAGGGAGGGAGATGACTCACAGGGAACACGGCCCTTCCCCGGAGGCAAGAGCTCAACACTGGGTTTTACCATGGATTTTCTCCAAGGCTCTGGGCCGCCCACACAGCACCCAACACCCGGAGCACACGGCCTCCCTGAGCCCAGAGAGGCTGTAGGACAACCAGAGGCACCCCCTGCAGAGCCCGAAACATGACAGGCTGACACCCTCCACCCTCTCACTCCCTTTCATCACCTCTCCTCTCAGCTTATTTGCCTTTGTTGACACTTCTGCAAACTACAAGATTAACGTTTTCAGCCCTTCCTCCCAAATGTATTCCTCCCAATGTTCTAATTTATTCTGTGGTCCGTAATTTAACAATGTTTTAGGTAATACTTTGCCCAGATTTGAAATGCGGGCACAGAAGAGCCAAATGAAGGGGGGAGTCTTAATTGCCCACCCCTGGACACAAGGCCCACATAGCCCCAAGCTCATTAGCCTTTTCTTTTCCTTTGGCTGCCACAGATCTTTTACAAGTCTGGGTGCCCATCACTGTCCTCCTCCATCCCCTTCAGACTTCAGAGTTGAGTTTTTCAGCTCTCATGGCTCCAAACCTAGCTGCTGCCAAACGTGCTGACCACGTATCCAACGCTCCCTGTTCTTTCTGCCCTGCTCCTCCTGCTGCATCACCTGGACGTTGAGCGGAACGAAGGACACCAGGCTGTAGTCCTCGATCACCTCCACCAGCTTCTCATTGAGGCGGCGGTAATTTCTGAAGAAGGGGTCGGAAGCTAAATGGTCAACCAAGTAAGAGAGGTCCAGGACTTCTGTGTAATAATCCAGGTTGAAAGCTGCAGGGAAACACCAAGAAGCTCTGAGGGCAATCTGTAAATATCGGGGCTTCCCTGGCCAGAACATTACTCTGAGAAGCCAGTGAGATTTATACCAGTCCGCCCACCATCTCCCAGCCATAAATCCCCATACCCAAGCACCTAATCTGCACCTAATTCCACACCTCTCGTTCGCAAAGGCTCTTACCCAGCTTGCCGTATTGCTCGATCAGGTCCATCTTGGAGAGGACGTTGACATGGGGCAGTTCCACGTGCAGCATGGTGGAGAGCGAGGTGCAGAGAACAGAGATGAACTTGCCAGGGTCCGTGCAGTAGTGAGAATCCACCAAATGCACCGCAGCCAGCTGGAGGGCAAAGACACACGGGGACAGCACAAGGTCAGGCCCAGTGATGAGTCCATCCGCTTGCTTTTGGGACAGTCTGAGAAGTGGCTGTTCAGACCTGACTATAACCACATCAACTCCCACATAGGGAAAGTTACCACCTACCTTCTAGCTCCTGCATATAAAACATCCTCATATATGAATGCACATACATATATATCTCGCCACGTTCACACCCATGGACCACCTGGGGATCCAGGACCCAGCGTGCTGGTGCACAGAAAGGGCTGTGGGGAGGCTTACAGAGGTGCTGAGCTCCACCAGCAGCACTGAAAGACACTGAAACCTGCATCTACTTTCCCTTTTCTCAGGGCTTCTTTCTTTGCAGATGAAGTTTCCATGCTTGCCTGAACTCCGCAGGTTTTTTGCAGGTGGGAGCTGGGGTTAACTCTCACTCTGAACGACACAACTGCCTCCAGATTTCCACCTTCCCCGCAGG